TCAGATAATTTCTTTATGGAAAGACACGGAAGGATTACATTACTGCAGTGGGAAGAAAAAGGAGCAGGTGAAAGAGGGCAGGAGGTCTGTTTTCCGAGGCCTGCTTTTGAGACCTAAAGAGCCCCAACATTATAACAAAAAGACTGATGAGGGCTGTGGGAGTTATGAGCCAGGAACTGTGAATGAACACACACACACACACAAGCATATGCCTCAACCTTTCTTTTTGGTTTCATCAACTGTAGGCACTTTAACTTTGTAACATGAGAATATTGGTGGACTTTTCTTTCTTTCCCAACTGTCCCCTAAATTCTGTCTTTACAATCTTTACAAAGAATCCTTACGTTCTAGTTTGCAGCCATAATTAAGTGTTTTGTGCTTTATCATTGGGTTGATTTTGAAGTAGAAAATCAATAATCTGCATTTATGTTATTTTGACTGTGTCTTGTGATTATAATTACGTAACTTTTTTTGTTTAGATTTTGTTTCTTGGAATTTGTAATTACATTTTTCTCCCTTATGTTACCTCCTTTTTTATCATATTGTTAGATTCTTCCAGAAAGTATGTCTCAAGCATACTTTCTTGTCTTTGTTTTTTTCCCTGGAATATCTCAGAGCCCTCTGGTCTCTGGCTCTAGGTCAGATTAAATGCATTTCAGGCCTTCTCTATAGTTGTGCTCTTGGAACTTCCTTTTTGGCTCTTCTGTTTTTCATCTGTAAAACAGAATCCTATGGATCCTATGTCCTCTTTCTCAGTTTTACTGCTTTGTTTTCTTGACCTCAGGTAACTTCTTCAGACAAGATGAATGAGAGATAAGTTTCAGTGTCTGTCCATATTTGAAAAACTTTATTCTGCTCTCAAATGCTGTTGAAACTTAGACTAGGTTTAAAAAAATCCTCAGAATTTAGAAGTCATTGCCTCATTGTCTTTTAGTGTATTGGCTTTCTGATGAGATAGATAATGACAGTCTAATTACTGCTCTTCTAGCTTTTTTTTTCCTAGAAGCCTTTAGAGTCTTCTTAACTCTGGGATTTTAAAAATTCCCTAATAATGATTTAAGTGGAGCTTCCATTCAATCTCCAGAAATTTCTTGAATTTCTTTAATAATTTTATCTCTTCTATTTTTATAAGTTTCTCTTTCTGCAACTCTGATTATTCAGATGTGGGAACTTCTGGATTGATTGTGTTTGTCTCATCTCTTTTTGAGCATTATTATCTTGAAGAGAGATATTACGGGATAATGGGCAATTATGAGATAAGTGGGCATTTTTTCCCCCTGCATTTAGGGAATGGTCAACTTTATTTTCTAAAACTTCTTTCTGACTTTACTCGTCTTTTAGACTACAGCATCATAGTCTATATGGAAATGGACATCATTTAACATTTCTCTATTCATATTAACTAGTTTTTAAGTTTTGTCTTTCTCCTGAATGCATATCTCTCCTCTAGGGTCAGTTTTCCAATTGCTTATCTTGGTCTCTGTCTTTGGGGCTGTGGACTTTCCCCAAATGTTCAATGATCTTTAGTTACCGTTTATTTTTATGGATGAGGCATTAGAGACCTGATTGATAACCCTACGTCCCTAGCAAGGCTTTTTCTTTCTTTCTTTCTTTTAATTTTATTTGAGACAGAGTCTTACTCTGTCACCCAAGCTGGAGCGCAGTGACATGATCTCGGCTCATTGCAACCTCTGTCTCCCAGATTCAAGCGATTCTCACACCTCAGCCTCCCAAGTAGCTGCGATTATAGGTGCGTGCCACTGCGTCTGGCTAATTTTTGTATTTTTAGTAGAGACGGGGTTTCACCATGTTGGCCAGGCTGGTCTTGAACTCCTGGCCTCACGTGATCCACTGACCTCAGCCTCCCAAAGTCCTGGGACTACAGGCATGAGCCACTGTGCCTGGCCAGCTTTTTCTTTAGGGTAAATAGGTAGGAGGGTACCTGTGTGATGTTTGGTCCCCCTGAATGCCAGAATCTGGACAACTTTACTCTGGGGTACCATCATCTACACTAACAGCATTTGTTCTTTCCAGTTTATTTCATTTTCTTTAGAGAATAGACCTCCCTTTTTTCCCCTGCAAGATAAATACCAGCCTGTCTGCTGTGCAGTGTACAGTGTCAACTCCATTATGCAAGCCTTCAGTTAATCTCCCGCCACCCCCTTTTTTTGAGACAAGGTCTGCTCTGTTGCCCATGCTGGAGTGCAGTGGCACAATCATGACTCACTGCAGCCTCAACCTCCCAGCTTCAAGCATTCCTCCCACCTCAGTTCCCCGAGTAGCTGGGACTACAGGCATGCACCACCAAGCCCGGTTAATTTTTGCTTTTTTTTTTTTTTAAATGATGAGGTTTCACCATGTTTCCCAAGCTGGTCTTGAACTTTTAGGCTCAAGGGATCTGCCCGCCTTGGCCTCACAAAATGCTGGGATTACAGGTGTGAGCCACTGCAACCGCCCCATTTCATTAACTTTCATTAAGTTTGAATCAGAGAATCTGTTTCAGAATTCCATCTTAATCTCAAATTGGAGAATGTTGTTGTTCATTCAGACTCCTTATTTCCACTTAGGAAAGTGGGCCAGTGTATTACTAAATAAATTTCCCAAAGACATGTTTTCAGTTACAATGAACATTGAATCGTGCAGTTTTATAGCTAATTTTATGTGCCCTGGGGGATTAAAAAGAAAATCAAGAATTGAGGAAGGTTGGAATGGCCACCAAAAATCTAAATCATTAGTCGCATCAAGGTATTTCTTATGTCTTAATAGCTCAGTCATAGCATGTAACTGGTTTTGCTATTAAAATGTTTTTCTGTTAATTGAATCTTTTGAAAAAATAATCTGATGAACAGGTTGATGAAAAGGTAAATAAATACTGAAAAATTTAAGATGTATTTTCCTTTAGCCATTGAAAGGAATGCTATGTACCCTGCCTTTTGTTTTGTTTTTGTTGTTGTTGTTTTTAGACAGAATCTTGCCTATTGCCCAGGACAGAGTGCGGTGATGCGATTTTGGTTCACTGCAACCTTTGCCTCCTGGGTTCAAGTGATTATTGTGCCTAAGCCTCCCAAGTAGCTGGGATTGCAGGTGCCTGCCACCACACCCAGCTACTTCTTGTATTTTTAGTAGAGATGGGGTTTCTTTATGTTGGCCAGGCTGGTCTCAAACTCCTGGCCTCAAATGATTTACCTGCCTCGGCCTCCCAAAGTGCTGGGATTACAGGCATGAGGCGCAGAGGTACCCTGCTTTTTTTGCTTAAAGCTCCTAGAAGACAGACAACTAATAAGTGTCAGAGCCTGAATGCAAATTCAGGTTTTTCTGCTGCTTGAACTTCTCAGTGCACAAAAATTGTGCATAGTAGCGCCGAGTGCGGTTGGGCCTCAAAAAGCACTGTAATCCCAGCACTTTGGAGGCCGAGACGGGCGGATCACGAGGTCAGGAGATCGAGACCATCCTGGCTAACACGGGTGAAACCCCGTCTCTACTAAAAATACAAAAAAAACTAGCCGGGCGAGGTGGCGGGCCGCCTGTACGTCCCAGCTACTCGGGAGGCATGAGGCAGGAGAATGGCGTGAACCCGGGAGGCGGAGCTTGCAGTGAGCTGAGATCTCGCCCACTGCACTCCAGCCCGGGCTACAGAGCAAGACTCCGTCTCAAAAAAAAAAAAAAAAAATGTGATATAACTAATCGAGAGACATATAGAGAGAGAAATCAGTAAATATTTTTAATGCATTATAAAATGAAAATTTACCTATCAAATAAGCTAGTTTTCAGAATGGGTAGTACTTAAATACCAAAAGCCCATGTGTGCGCTGCGGGGGTGTAACTTAGTACAACTTTTTGGGAAACAGTCATACTAGACGTAAAAATCTATTTAGAAGCATTCATGGCACTGACTAGAAGGAAATATTCCAAAATGTTAATAGTTATGTCTTGAAACAAGTGTTTTTCCAAATTTTCCTCATTTAACCATGTTATTTTTATAAATAGGGATGTTTTAACCCCACTTAGTGGTTTAATTTTAGGGAAATAATTCTAATTACAGAATAAAGATTATCCAAAAGTATTCAACAACTATATTTTTAGTAGTGAAAAATTAGAAATAAGTTAAATGTCCAACTGAGCAGAATGTGCCAAAGTAAGCAGTGATCACTTCTAAGGGAAGCATGTTAAGATTTTTTTTTTTAGGCCGGCGGGCGGTGGCTCAAGCCTGTAATCCCAGCACTTTGGGAGGCCGAGACGGCGGATCACGAGGTCATGAGATTGAGACCATCCTGGCTAACACGGTGAAATCTTTTTTTTTTTTTTTTGGAGACAGAATTTTACTCTTGTTGCCCTGGCTGGAGTGTAGTGTATCTCGTCTCACTGTAGCCTCCACCTCCCAGGTTCAAAGCAATTCTCCCCCTGGCCTCAGCCTCTCAAGTAGCTGGGATTACAGGTGCCCACCACCACACTGGGCTAATTTTTTGTACTTTTAGTAGAGATGGGGTTTCACCATATTGGCCAGGCTAGTTTCAAACTCCTGACCTCAGGTGATCCACCCACCTCGGCCTCCAAAAGTGCCGGAATTACAGGCATGAGCCACCATGCCCAGCCTGCATGTTAAGATTTAAGAGATTTCATAGAAATTAAAAAAGTTTATGATAGAAAAAGCCAGATGCAAATTTGTTTATATAGTATGTGATTACAGATAAATATTTTTATGAAGATACAGCAACATAGTGGAAGAAGATTCAGTAGTTTATCAGTGATTATGCTTGGATATTGAGATTCAAGTAATTTTTCTCCTTTGTACTTTTTAATATTTTTCAGATTTATCATGTACTGAAGTTGTATTTTTCTAACATGAGGTAAAACTACAGCTAATGTTTTCCTAGGCAGCCACTTGGTAATACTCTGTTCGTATTATCTGAAGATTTAGTTTTTTGTGGGGAGGGCGGCATTTGATAATGTCTAGTTTTCTTCTGTCCAAATGGAATGGGCATTTTTGTATCATTTCTTAGATCTGAAACTCAGCACCGAGGCTCTGCTCCCCACTCTGAGAGTGATCTACCAGAGCAAGAAGAGGAGATTCTGGGATCTGATGATGATGAGCAGGAAGATCCTAATGATTATTGTAAAGGTAAGTTCATAAGGAGGTATGAAGTGAGACATGATCCATCTATTTGCAGTTTCTCATTTGGATGTTTGATCTATCAGCATAAACACAGTTTTATTGCTGTTTACTTGTATCCTTTTCTCTAAAACTTAGGAAATAGTATTTGTTCTTAGTCTGACTTAATTTATCAAAGCCTGATTTTATGTTAAATGTTTTTACCTTTTTCCTCTTTAAAAGTTATAATACATATTTACCTTAGAAAATTCCAGAGCTGTGTTAAACAGAAAAGAATGTAAAAGCCTTCTGCAATGCTATCAGCCACATATAACCATGGTAACATTTTGGCATATAGATTTTTACAAAATACCTTCTTACTACTTTTTTTCTCATAGTGATGGCTGTTAAGTTAAACTGGAATTACAGACACTTAAATGGTGTCATCAGGTTGCCTGTTACCTTTTCTGTTTCTTGATGAGACTTTCCAGAGTCTTTGGGTAGGAACACAAAATGGAATGTATCATACCATCTAGGAGAAGAACGTGGCCCTTATTGTCAGCTGGCAAAGATAAATATGAAAATACCTTGATTCTTGCCACTGTTGGCAGCTTTTTTGAGGCCTTCCTCTGTTTTCTGCTTTTTAGGGTTTTTTTTGTTTTGTTTTTTGAGACAGAGTTGCCCAGGCTGGAGTGCTCAGCCTACTGCAGCCTCTGACTCCTGAGTTCAAGCGATTCTCATGCCTCAGGCACCCACCACCACGCCTGGCTAATTTTTGGGGTTTTTTGTTTGTTTTTGTTTGTTTGTTTGTTTTTTGTGTTTTTGTTTTTTTGTTTTTGAAAAGGAGTCTCGCTCTGTTGCCCAGGCTGGAGTGCAGTTGGTATGATCTCAGCTTGCTGCAACCTCTGCCTCCCGGGTTCACGCCATTTTCCTGCCTCAGCCTCTAGAATAGCTGGGACTACAGGCGCCTGCCACCGTACCCAGATAACTTTTTGTATTTTTTCAGTAGAGACGGGGTTTCACCGTGTTAGCCAGATGGTCTCGATCTCCTGACCTTGTGATCTGCCTGCCTCGGCTTCCCAAAGTGCTGGGATTACAGGCATGAGCCACCTCGCCTGGCCATTTGTTTGTTTGTTTTTGTTTGTTTTGAGACAATCTCACTCTGTCGCCCAGGCTGGAGTGCAGTGGCACGATCTCAGCTCAATGCAACCTCTGCCTCCTGGGTTCAAGCAGTTCTCCTGCCTCAGCCTCCCGAGTAGCTGGGACTACAGGCACGCGCCATGACACCAGCCAATTTTTGTATTTTTAGTAGAAGACACGGTTTCACCATGTTGGCCAGGCTGGTCTCGAACTCTTGACTGCAAATGATCCACCCTCCTCAGCCTCCCAAAGTGCTGGGATTACAGGCGTGAGCCACTGCACCTGGGCTGTTTGTTTTTATTTAGAGGAACAAAATCCCGTTTGCTTACTTGTTTTTGTTTGTTTTGTTTTTTGCTAAATAATTATTCTGTCTCCTAAAGAACACCTGAGACTGTAATTGTAAATAGATATATATTAGATATATATGTTTAAATAAACCTATTGGATTATTGAGAGACAAGAATATTGTGATATACAACCTTTTTATTGTTTTTGGATGAGGCTGTTGTAGGCTCAATCTAAATCATTAATCTTATTCACCTTTTTTATAACATGAAGTCAGTAATACTATGTGGCTGATTTGACTATTAAGGCTTTCTTCTGTTGAATTGATTGTATAAAAGAAACTTTTTGTTGATAAAAGGTATATAGATGTTGAAAAATGTGATGTAAAAATGCCTTTTCTTACCATTGTTTCTCGTCCTGGTTTTTCTGATTTCCCGTGTCTTCCAGGAGGTTATCATCTTGTGAAAATTGGAGATCTATTCAATGGGAGATATCATGTGATCCGAAAGTTAGGCTGGGGACACTTTTCAACAGTATGGTTATCATGGGATATTCAGTAAGTTTTAGTGGTTCTGTAAAAAAATTAGTTAGATGATATCTAAATATGTTTATCTGAGTTTCCACTGCTGATCCAGACTTCAATCTATCTCTAGCCTGATACATTTATCAGAATTTTGTTGTTGGCAATAGTCTCTATATTCTTGGAGAAATCACTTTTCTTTCGTGAAGAATCGGTATTATAATCTCCCTTTCTACTTTAGAGACAAGAGTGATTAAATTAATGCTGGTAAAGCTTTTGTCGTTTGATTTTTTTGTTATTTTTATCGTTTTCTTTTCACCCAAATATTTCTTCTGGCTGCCTGTGGGAAAATATTACAGCTATTAACCTTTTAGTTTTTGCCTATATACAGATACACAGAACACTTGGAATTTGGTAATATCTTTCCCCTTATTTATCCTCATTTTGAAATTTTGCTTGAAATTCAGGGAGATATTCAAAAGAAGGATTTTAACTCAGAGAAAATGTTCAACAACTGAGATTATCTGAGAACAGATCTTTTATTCTTCCTACAAATGAAATCTGGCCAGTTAGCATCATTAACAAGTACAAATGTTCCCATAGAAGTAGCTTGTTTGGGCTACTGGGAAACATGAAATCAGTATTTGTCCCTTTTAACCATCTTATAGCTAAACCTTAGTTTCCTAAAGTAAGGGTAGGCTATGTAGTCTTAATTGCCTGTGTTTGTTTCTTAGGGGGAAGAAATTTGTGGCAATGAAAGTAGTTAAAAGTGCTGAACATTACACCGAAACAGCACTCGATGAAATCCGGTTGCTGAAGTCAGTGAGTATTAGATTATATGTATGAATGCAAAGAATTATAAATACATCAAGTTTCATTGAATTAAAGCACACCAAGTGGAGACTCTTCAGCATGGATAATTTTCTCTATAAAGTTCTAGTATCCTTAAAGAGGTTAAGGAAGACAATAATATTTACACATTCCATGCATGTAGTAGGGAACTGGTGGGAAATGCTATGATTAGAATTCTTACACACATGAACCAAAAAAAACCTTTCAAATGAATAAAAATATTCACTGAGCATGTTTTACAGGCCAGGTAACTACTGTCATAATGTTTTTCTTTCCTACTATGGTTAAAAGGAAAGTTGTGTAAATAAATGTATAGCATCTTTTTTGTTGTTTTCAAATATGTTATAGAATACATAATATAAAAATACTGTATTTACTGATTCCATTTATACCTGGAAACTGAGATAAATTCTGTAAAAAATGTACTTTTAATTTTGTTTTAAATTAGGAATATGCCATTGTGGTAGAAGGAACTTAAACTCAGAATTAGAAAACCTGGGTTTAGGTCACCTTTACCCTGATATGTTCTCCATGTTACCGTGTTTTTCTTTCTGAGTTTTAGATTTTTTATTCATAAAGTGAGAATGTTGCACCAGGAGATTTCTATGGCAGTACTTTTCTTATTTTCGACTCCTGGCCTCAAGTGATCTGCCTTATTAGCCTCCAGAGTAACTGGGGTTACAGGCACAAGCCACTGCACCTGGCTTAAGACAGTACTTTTCAGAATGTCTGTGACAAGTTTAGGAGCCTTGTACCTACCCAAAAGTAAATACTGTTTTCTTCATTGAGAAAGTTTTTCCATGAAAAAAAAAATGTTGGCTGAAATAAACAGTGCTGTTGGTGCTATAGTTGATTCGCATCCTGCAAAAGCTGCTTAGTTCCTCATAGCCCGGTAATCTGCAGTTAATTTGGAGGCCACACTTTGATATCAGGGAGCAAAATAGTTTAGCAAAATTAGAAAAATAGTTCCTGTTGGTTGTATTTCCTCTTATGAATTGACTAAGATTTTTCTCCATTAAAGCTATTGAAATTTTAGTATATTTTAAAGGTAGATTTATGTGAGCTCTTTCTTGTAGTTAATTTGCTGTAAGTATTCTTCCCATACCATTTGGCTTATTTCCATGCTTTACTCTCTTTTCCCCACTACAGGTTCGCAATTCAGACCCTAATGATCCAAACAGAGAGATGGTTGTTCAACTACTAGATGACTTTAAAATATCAGGAGTTAATGGAACACGTATCCTTTTAAAAACCTATTTGAGAATAAATCATCCCAATCCCAAAGAAAGGAACTAGATTTGTTGTGTAGATGGCCTTGGTGTCTTTTCTCAAGGCAAACTATAATAAAATTACCTCTTTTATTGTACACTTCTGAACACAGATCTGAATTTTGTCTGATTTTGTGTGGTGTGATTTTTCAGGATATTGCTTTAAGTTTTTTGTCCCCTTTTCAGGCAATTAGACCGAAGTCAAAGAAACTTTTAGAAAATGCCTTGTATCACCAAGTAAAGAATCTATGATTTTTGTTAGCACAGAAACCTTAAGGGAAGTAATTTATTATGAAAAATAGTGTGTTGGCTGGGCATGGTGGCTCACACCTGTAATCCCAGCACTTTGGGAGACCGAGGCAGGTGGATAACCCGAGGTCAGGAGTTCGAGACCCACCTGGCAAACATGGTGAAACCCTGTTTCTACTAAAATACAAGAATTAGCTGGGCGTGGTGACAGGCTCCTGTAATCCCAGCTACTGGGGAGGCTGAGGCTGGAGAATCACTTGAACCCGGGAGGCAGAGGTTGCAGTGAGCCGAGATTGAGCCCACTGCACTCCAGCCTGGGCGACAGAGCCGGACTCTGTCTTAAAAAAAAAAAAAATACTGTCTAAAAGAAAGAAAGAGAAAGATAAAGAAAGGAAGAAACTGGGTAAACAATTTAAAGTATGATTGTATTTATTATACTAAGCCTCAACTTTGAAGAGGCTGTGAATGTAGATTATGTTTAGAGTCTAAAAGGGTGTAATTATTCGTGTTCTGTTATAATGAAAAACTGACTTGTTTTATGTTTTTATCTGGATTTTTAGAATTGTAGAATTGGAAGGAACTGTAGCTGATTTTCTTCACAGGTATCAAAGTGATGTGCGGTGAGCTAATTGAAAAGTTGTTGAAACAGCTATGCTTATAAAGGTCAATCAGATTTTTCAGTAAAAGTTGAAGGCGAATCTTACTTAGATTGGAGAATCTAAAATACCTGTTTATAAGCTAGTCTTAAAATGTATAAAGACATTTCATATATTATTTTACTTTTCATGCATGTTTAGCTTCCTTTAATGCACATTCCTAATTGCTGTTGATCTTTTTTTATTTAAAGGAGACAGGATTACATGTGACTGTAGTTTCATGTAGACTATGGGAAGAGATTTGAACAGAGAAGCAGGAAGGAAGTTGGAAAGGAGAGAAAACAGTTGATAATGTGGAAAGACTATTGTTCTAAAGTCAATTCTGAGTCATTTCTTAGAAAAATACAAATCACAGTTCCCCCAGATGTCTAAGGAAAACTGCTGCAACCATCTTAAAACAGTATCTTGTGCTTATTGTGGTCATTTTGTAGATGGCTTTCTCTCTCTCTCTCTCTCTCTCTCTCTCTCTGTATTTTCAAAGAATTAATAATTCTAACCAAGAAATTTTTAAAAAACACACACAGGGTGTCACGATGGCCGTATCTGTTTTTTCTATTATTTAATCTTGTAATGTTTTTCATTGTGCCAGATTTCTTTACTAATTTGCGAAAGTTCCAGGTAAAACTATAGAAATACTCTCGAATCTCCCCGGTAATGCTGAGTACCTTTATTTGACCCTAACTAAGCAAAGAAGGCTTTTTAACTATTGAAATATCTTAGTATGTTTGAATTTCAAGTTCCAAGATATTTTTCTTTTCTTTTTCTTTTTTTTTTTTAGATGGAGTTTCATTCTTGTTCCCTAGGCTGGAGTTCAATGGCACGATTTCGGCTTGCTATAACCTCTGCCTCCCGGGTTCAAATGATTCTCCTGCCCTAGCCTCCCAAGTAGCTGGGATTACAGATGCATGCCACCATGCCCAGCTAATTTTGTATTTTTCATAGAGACGGGATTTCTCCATGTTGGTCAGGCTGGTCTCACACTCCTGACCTCAGGTGATCTGCCCGCCTCGGCCTCCCAGAGTGCTGGGATAACAGGTGTGAGCTACTGCGCCCTGCCCTCAAGATATTTTTCAAACATTGCTAGGTGATTTCTCTGTAGCTTCTGTCCATTGATTCCCTATTTTCTTTTCTCCCTTTGTTCTTAGCCATTTTTTCCTTTCTTCATCTTTATCTCCCAGCTGTCTTTGCTCCTGCATTATTTACTATTAGAGATTGAAAGGATATAACTCAGAACACTATGTTAAGGGTTAGTAATGGCTCATGTCACTCTCCTGCTCCTACCCATTTTCCCAACATAACATACCCACACAGAGCTGTACATTCACATTCGTGTGTTTATGTTTGTTCAGGCATTTTTTTCTCTGGACCACTATCGTTTCTCATATTAAAATATAAAGGACACTAAACTAGAAAGTTAGTTCTTACAGAATTCCATGTAAACTGGCTCACTCTACTTGCCTGGAGGGTGAGGGGAGAAGAATGATTAAGAAGGAGGACAGTTGGTTTCTCTGTATAATGTTGACATTAGCCAATCATTATTATCTACCTATATGACTTCCTATGTCTTTAGGATACTTTTTTTTTTCATGCTATATGCTGTCTTTTTTGCTAGCTCCTTTTATTCATAATGTGCCCTAAATGTGCTTACTCAATAACGTAAGCCTTTTATTTTCAGCCTTTTGTTATTTTCTTTCCACTGTCTCCCCAAGAGATTTTTTTTTAATTTAACCTTGTGATTTCAATTACCAGTGCTTCTGATTGCTACTCATTAGCTTTCTTTCACTCCAATTATTTGGCTCTTCCTTTTTGCCAATTGATTATGATGTTCTATCAAATATTTTTTTAAGCTACTATATGTTTGGTCATTTTAATATCACTGCTTACAAATTAAAACAACATTTTCAAATTGTAATATTTCTCTCAACAAATAAAAAGCAGATCAAAGCTAGAAACATTAAGAGAATAGCCTTACAATCCTATTTTATGTTTAGTCTTTTTAAGTAATCTGCATTTTAAATAATCTTGTTTTGACAAATTTTTTATTTAATTGCTTTTTAATTTTTGTGTATTTATTTGTTTTGAGACAGAGTTTCGTTCTTGTTGCCCAGACTGGAATGCAGTGGCTCAATCTCGGCTCATTGCAACCTCCGCCTTCTGGGTTCAAGTGATTCTCCTGCCTCACCCTCCCGAGTAGCTGGGATTAGAGGTGCACACCACCACGCGCAGTTACTTTTTGTATTTTTAGTAGAGGCAGGGTTTTGCCATGTTGATGAGGTTGGTCTCTAACTCCTGACTTCAGGTGATCCACCCGCCACAGCCTCCCAAAGTGCTGGGATTACAAGCATGAGCCACCGTGCCCAGCCTATTTAATTCCTTGTTTAAAAACATTTCTTGGCCAGGTGCAGTGGCTCACGCCTGTTATCCTAGCACTTTGGTAGGCCAAGGCGGGTGGATCACGAGGTCAGAAGTTCAAGACCAGACTGGCCTACATGGTGAAACCCCGTCTCTACTAAAAATACAAAAATTAGCGAGGCGTGGTGGCACGTGCCTGTCCCAGCTACTTGGGAGGCTGAGGTAGGAGAATCGTTTGAACCCAGAAGGCGGAGGTTGCAGTGACCTGAGATCATGCCACTGCACTCCAGCCTGTGTGACAGAGCAAGACTCCACCATGGGGGTTAAAAAAATTTTTTTTCCCAGCAGAATCGTAGGTAAATTTCAAATGTAAAGAAGTAGGAATAGTTAAACGAATCCCCACAGATCCATTACCCATTTCAGGAGTTATCAGCTTATAGCCAATCTTGTTTTGTCTGTACCTCCTGATAATTCTGTAGCCAATCTTAAACATTTTATCAGTAATTGTTTTAGAGTGCATTTCTAAACGGCAAGGACTCTTAAAATATAACCTAGCCAGTCACTGTATCTCATGCCTGTAATCCCAGCACCTTGTGAAGCTGAGGTGTTCAAGACTAGCCTGGGCAGCATAGCAAGACCCTGTCTCTACGAAAATAAAAAATACTAGACAGGCATGGTAGCTCATGCCTGTAGTCCCAGCTACTTGGGAGGCTGAAGCAGCAGGGTCACTTGAGCCTGGGAGTTTGAGGCTGCAGTGAGCTGTGATAGCACCACTATACTCCAGTGTGGCTGGCAGAACAAGATGCATTCTCTGACAAAAAGATTTGTTAAATAAGAAGATAACCTGAATGCAATTATTATACCAAAAAAAAAAAAAAAATTGGGGCCAGTTTTAGTCACAAGTTTCTCTAGTCAGTGTTTCAATCTCTCCAAATGTCTTGTGCTTTATTTTGTTTTTGTCTGCTGCTGCTGCTGCTACTATTACTACTGCTACTACTGGTTGTTGTTATTGTTCTTATTGTTCTTCTTCCTCTTTGGTCTAATTTTTTCTTTATTGTGGTAAAGTTCACATAACATAAAATTGTGCAGTCATTACCATCATCCATCTTCATACCTTTTTGTCTTGTAAAACTGAAACTCTACCTGTTAAATGACTATTAGATCTCATTGGTTTATTGTGTTAAGTCCTCTGTTTCCTTGCTTATCTTCTGTCTGCTTGTTCTAAACATTATTGAGAGTGTGGCATTAAAGTCAACTATTATTGTAGAACTATTTCTCCCTTTAATTATGTCAATTTTTGTTTAATATAGTTTGGTGGTCTTTTAATAAGTATGTAAATGTCTATAATTGTTATATCTTGGTGGTATGTTGAACCTTTTATTAATATATATAATATCCTTCTTTATCTCTTGCAACTTTTTCTGATTTAAAGTCTATTTTGTCTGATATTAGTATAGCCACCCCTGATTTCTTTTGGTTACTATTTGCATGGAATCTTTTCTTCAACCTTTCACTTTTAATCTGTTTGTGTATTTGGATCTAAAGTGAGTCTCTTGTAGACAGCATATAGTTGGATCATTTTTTTTATATATATATTCTACCAAACCAAAGTTATATGAGCTTTTAGACTAATAATTATTATTTGACATATTGGGTTTTTTAATCATGTAGAAAACAGAAAGAGTTATAAACCATTATTACAATAATACTAG